AAGATATCACTTTCATCGCGCTAAAATGTCGCGTAGAGTGCTGTCGCTGGAATGGATATCAATCCTCCTATCAGGTTATATGTACGTAAAAATGGATCAGCGGTTTAACAAAGGAACGGGATTGAATTACGTGTCGTCTTTTTGACCATTCCGGCGATTGTGATTACTCATGGCTTTTCCATCACGTGAGTTAATAAAGGAAAATCCTCTTTCGTTGTCAAATCAATCAACTATTGATTAACGAAGTTACTAGAAGTCTGGAAAATTAAATCTATATAATAATCGTTCTTATAAATGAAGAAGGATCTCGTGTTTTTATTCGTCACGATGATCAAGATTAGAAATCTAGCATCGGGTCAGATTAGAAACACATGTACCATGGAATCAATTGTCAATTCCCCGATGGCGAACTTACTACAGTGCAACTCTGTTACATATAATGACCGAATTGTACGATCCCGGGCACATCGAACTGGATCGAACCTCTTAGACCGTTGTTAGTAAGAGGTGTCTAATTGCTCGACCATCGTGTACAACGCAAGTGCAATTAAACTCTGACTACGAGTTATGTCGGTCATTTTAAGCGTTTTCCTGCAAAAGCACACTTAAGGTAAAAACACAAAATGACGAATATTTTTTCCGTTTGAAGATATCACGAATGCATAAAGAGAGAGATACCGAAATATACCTTTTAACGCGCTAGAATCTTATTATCGGTCAGTTTTGTACCAACGAAGCTTATTCATATTTCACGAAAGTTGCATCCTATTTGAATATTGTATGGGTAGATTTCCGCGGGAGCTGTATTGCTCACGGCGGAAATAATGGCAAATTGTAATTTTCAGTGAGCCAATCCATGATACAGCGTCCCGTTACAATTTGAATTCCAATCTCGCCGTTCACAGCGATCGCTTTATTGGGATAATTAGACTCGTTCAATTATTGAATGAATGCATTTGTACGACAATGCTCACATTAACGGCAGCTTCATTATACATACGACTACATGTATTTGACGAAAATTATGTTTCACAATACGAAGAAAACATTTATCGAATATCCTTACGAAAAAGTGCGATATACGTCCACAGAAAAAATAGTTCTAAATGCTCAAAATGTAGTTACCAGAAAGTCAAAACTTTTTATAACATTGATCTTTATGCTTAAGTTTCCATTATTTTGCCAACAAAGTTATTTTCAGATCTGTACCTATTTTTAGACTTTAGCAAAATCATACTTTCTATGCCCATACTTGTGTATATGTATTACTATCAGTTAGTACGATTTAGTGACCATTTAGGATCGATCGACAATAAATTGCGGATGTATTCGAGCTACGAAATCAATTGTCAGCCGCAATTTCCTGCTAAAAGCGTTGCTAGATTAAGATCCAAATGATTCACGCGGAATCGCAGTTTATATATTGGGATCGTTCGATTGATTCTGAAGCCTTTTTAATTGTCCAATTCTCAATTTCACAACAATTATACCTATACGGTAAAAAAATTTTACTAAAGTGTTTAAAAATTTAATTAAATATAAATCTGAAAATAAAACTTTGTTAAACCATCAAAATAATTATGTATGGCACTCAAATATGAGCATCCTACAAAAAGTTTCAACATTCTAGTAATTAGTTTAAATCCTATATATTATAATTTTATCCATAATTATTTTGATATATTTGATAATCTAACAAAATTATTTTTAGATCTGTATTTAGTTTAAATTTTTTAATATTTCAGCAAAATCATTCTCGCATATCTTTTAATCACGGCAGACTGAACTTCCTAATAATCACTGAAGGTGTATAGGTATCTCGCTTACACCTACGTAAAATTTACGTATCGATAGCAGTCTAGAGTTAAAAAGTTATGCATCACAAAATATCACAAAATCGATTTCATTATTATCAGAAAAGTGAGCACATTGAAATCGCGTCGAACATTCTCCGTAATAATAATGTAAATGAAGAAATGATTTTGATTAATAACTAACTGATTAATAATAGTGACTAATTGTTTTAATTAATATTTAGTGACTTAATTGTCAATACTATCGGCATATAAATCTTTTTAATGACTTTTGATGTAGATCCTTTCAAATCGGGACGTACCGTGAGAAAAGACAGATTAAACGTTATGACCGGATATAAGTCGTGACATCGGAAATCGTTAAAAATTGAAACCAAGCGCCAGACGATGTGGCAATAAATCGTGGGACTTAACGTCGAAGATACCGTACCGCAATGGATTCTTCGTTGCATATAAATCTAGTATGGTGTCTTTGCGGTAAACCTCCACGGTGCATTTCGCTGCAGCCATCGATTTGATCGTTCATCGTAAGCGTGGTATGTCTCGAGCACAATGCGAAGATTCGCTCGAGACGACTCACCGTTCCTTCGACTCATCCCGAAAGTCGATCCGCACGTTGGCTACCATAAATCGTCGTCCGCGATAAGTTCTTCTCGAACGCCTCCGTTCTATGGGAGATCTGGATTCTTTTCGAAAACATTCTACCGACATTAATGTCTTTCATCCATCACATCGAACTGTACAATATAATGGTCACGGAATGTCGGAATCGCTCTATTGTTTTAATTGCAAAACCGAAATTATTCGAATTACGCAAATTTATTAACATATTATTAAAAACAAAATGGAAGGATCTCTTAATGATTTATAAATCGCTCGTTAGTTAAGTTTCTAAATATTCTCATTATATACAATTACATTACAACAATTATATAACATACATTGAACAATTATAGAAATCTTAATGAGAAATAGTATTTCCAAAAACAAGAGGAACTGTTATAATTATATCGCATGGAGGAAATGTTATTACTAATTATATCATAATCTAATTTTATAAAATATATGCTCATCTCAGTTTCCACGTTTCGAAATCATAATTTTCAATAGTAATTAGATCGAGATAGAATTTCTGGCAGACTTCAATTTTCTGGTCCTCAAAACTACCGGATAGTTGAAGTTAAACATCTGTTTTCATACCCTTATCACAGAAAGACTGGCTCACTTTCTGTGATAAGCGATCGATTAATTAGGAATCTTGTTCCACCACGGCGGCGCAACGATGATGGCATTACGGTATGTAATGGCGACTCTATACCGCGTAGCAAATAGTAATCTGTTTTCAACTGTCCATACGAGACCTAAAATCTTCCGGAAGCGACCAAACCGATTTTGTGGAACACCACGTGTGTCTCAAGATAATCCGTGACTAATGAATTCTCTTGTCGTTTAATCGCCTTTCACACCAATCACAAGGAACAGACGGCATTCGTTACTGGAGGGCATAATTGCGGACAAATTTAGTAGATATGTTAGACCAAGGCCGACTCACTCAGGAGATAGAAAACAAAGTGTAGGACCTATCTTTTTCATTACAGAAAGAAGTGAGAGACGGAATTTCCCGAGAAATGAATTTTTTAATTGAAATTTAATACACACTTTGAGTACATAATCTGATTATTATTATATTATAGCAGAATAGCAATTTCCTCGTTTTATGTACAGATCTGTTCTATAAATTTAATGTTTTGTAACTTTAATGAGTTTGTAAGAACTAATCTTTGCCACACCAAATTTCAAATTTTTCCTTCATCCATTTATTTTAAAATTTTTAGTCTCTGATATGAAATGTAAGTTCATTCTTGAATGTTTCTTAGTTTTATCACCACCTTGTTTTAGCTTAAGCGTATAAGAACAAAATTGGGTTTAGCATTTGCAATTGGCGTTCTAGTTTGCGTCTGTAATCCCATCTTGCATACTAAAATCCAATTTACGTTCTGTCGTTGTAAAGGATATGTAAAAAAACTTGTAAAGGCTATTTGGCTTTAATTTCGTTACAGCGGTACAAAGACCTTTAATGAGTACGACGATATTATTTTATGCTACAACCGATGAGCTTTGTAACAACGACAGTTGGCCTCTATTTTTACCGTTTTGCTCGGTATTGTCGTAAAAATCTAAGATGAACCAATTTGCATAGCTTATTTCCTCAGATTATGCGACGGGGGACATTGTTTCACGCCATCGTTCAGAAGAATAAAAGTCGGGTTCCACCGCGCTGCATAATTCGCTCGTAAAGATAGGAAGGAAACGGTGCTTTCGAATGCTTCATAATGGCAGTTCCAAGTGCTTGCAGCACCGTTGTGTATTCATCAAATCGCGACACTTTTACATACATTTCCTGTAAAATATCCCATCTCCTTGATTTCCTCCCTCCCTTTTTATTGTGCGACGCGGTCATAGAATTAAATTAAAAGGCTTTATAATAATAGTGCATACTTTTCTATATGTAAATTATTAATTGCAACATTAACAGTATTTCATCAAAAATACCAAGCATTTACTTTAAATAATTCTGCTGTTACAAATTTTCGCGGAAAAATATGACATTTGTTTTTCATACGAAATCTTATTACGCAAATAGTAAATTTTACATGTACCAGAGTTGGCGTTTGTGTAAAAAAATTCTACAATGCAATGTTCGCTTCCCGTTAGTTTGATATTTCCGGTTGGTTTATATCATTTGTAATGTCAGAGAGATCTAATTTGTAGAAAGATGCCATTTGTCATGATGCGAAAACGAATTTTAAATGACTGCTGCCATGTAAAGTATAAGCAGCGTAGTGATGTTGACGTTCGCTATAAAAAATTCTATAAAAATTTCAATTTTCGCCAGCGCGACACGAATGAATTGTAATCACTCGCGATATCAAACGCTCGTGTTGTTTGCCATGGCGAAAAATGAAAAATTATTCGAATTCTGACAGTGTCACGTGTAAAATTTACACACGTCTAGTATTATCGGACGATCCATGTAATTTTCAGCCTTTGTGAAGATTTCTTTTGAACGATCAGTAACAATTTTACGATATCGAACGTACGTAATTGGCGGTGTTGTTATTTGCGGCGGCAATGAAAAGCTGTAAACTCGTACACATCCTGAATATTGTGATTTCTATGTTTCAGGTACGTATAATCGAGTCAAAATGGAATGCCGCTCCTCGGATATGACGTACGTGCCGCGAAACGTGAGTGTGGTCAGTGTGGTCAGACGGTGCCGGAGCGTTGTAACGAAAGCTCTCAGCTAATACTTTGTAAACAAAAGTAGAATGCAAATAAATCGTTTACCATACTACTTCTCTTGCTCTATGTCTCTCTCTTTCTCTTTCTGTATGTCTCTTTTTTTTTCTGTTCTCATTGTGCGCTTTTCTATAAGCCGCTACGTCATTACACGCAGATTGGATTTCCGCGCACGGTAATGGGGATTATTCGGATTACTTGCGCATACCGAAGCTCGCAATGTTATTTGCCTAATTAATACCCAAATCGCAATGCTTGCCACGCGGTGGTGGTCGCACACTTCGATCATGGTAGAGATCATTGAGTTACATTGATTTTATCGACATCATATTGTGAGAAAATCAAACAATTATGTTAATCTTGGAACGAACGTTTTGCATTGTTGCTTCGGTTTACTGCGCCGTAAATCTGTAATATTTGTATCGCTACGCCAATAATCATATTCAATAAATATTTAGCCGCTTCGCTCGTCTGTCGCTTTCAAGAAAATCGGCTTACTTTTTGCTTATTTAAATATTAATGAAGAGGGGACAAAATCTTGAAGCTTCTCATTTTATTCTCCTCAGCAGCTCTTTATTAAGCTCTCATTATGATTTTATTATATAAACAATGAATTCAAAAGAGATTTCAATTTTGTATAATATATACAGCTTTTTTAAAGCTTGCATAATATTTAATCACGTTGTTTTAAATCTTCATTTGAGTATCTAATGCTCGAGGTAACATTTTAGAAAATTTCAAATCACCAGAGAATCGCCTTGAATCGACGCGTTGAATCGAGACAAATCAATTTATCGGACGCTTACCCACTATTCCGTCAGCGTGACAAATGTTCAATTTCAACGTCTTGAATTCATCCATTTCAGCGGCATTTGCATGGACAATCTTTCACGCGCGCGCATACATACGCATACGTACACATATATAGGCATATCCGCTCACAAATGTGCATTTATGTCAGTGTACTTTATCAACTACATCGTCTCTTAACTAGCATGATCGCGGGGGAATTAGGACGCGAGCTGACAACGACGACGAGGGTTTCCCGTATTTTTGCAGAGAAAGGTGATACGGCGCCCCTAAGTGACTTTATCCGATCCGATGGTCGTTCTTCTCGCCTGAAGTCGTGCGTTCCGGCCGGATCGACTTTCAGCTCTCGTGGGCCATAGGGAGCGGCGAAGCACGACTTGGATCTTATAGCGGACTCCTGCCTGGTACAGGCTACTTAGATAAATAGAGCGGACGTGCACTCGATGTTAGGGAACGGGGCTGTGAGTGGAAAGTGATGGTTACCGAGTTAAATGACGATGGAAATTGCGTGGAAAGAGAGATAAAGATAGAGAAAGAGAGAGAGAGAGAGAGAGAGAGAGAAAGGTGGTGAGTAGAAGCAGGCAAGGTCGCCAGATTTGATGGACCGGAATAGACCATTACTCCACCTCAATCGAGTAGCAAATACTCCACTCTCGAAAAATCCAGTAGCCTACTATCGATCCTCATGGGAAATTCGGTCCATGAAGGCGGCCATGAAGGCTCTCCTCGGAACTACTCGGCTCCATGATCCTCTTGTCCGGCAGACACTATCGGCTTGGTTTCTCTAGTCCTCTTTTTTGTAATAATCTCAAACAGCCGCAACTCAGCGGCTCACGTAGAACATCCCATTACATCCCGTCTGCGCTTTTTGCATCGCCGGGTTTATAAAGACCGGTAGCACTTTTCAGATCTTCCGAGTCTTTCGCGCGCCAGAAAATCAAGAATTCTCTGAACACGAGCGCACCGAGGAGCGCATTGATGGGTTTCAGCAAGATGAGTATAGACGGCAGAACTAAAGCTGAGCTTACGTGGATATTTGCATCACACGGCTGGATTGTAATTCGGGTATTATCCATTGTTTTAGATCGGATCAACTATACTGTGTCCAGCTGTGCACAGATTACATGGTACATATGTTGTCTAATACGAGAAACGTACTAAATGTTTTACATTCTTCAATCAAATTAGCATCTATTGCATTCTATAGCTACAGAATTCGTATTTGCGTGTAATAATTCATCTACAATAGAGCAAGAATTTTTTAATAAAAAATTTACGGCGCGTTAATGAAACTTTAATTCCGTATTAAATGAGCGTATATTGAAGCAAAATCAGAGGTACAGGAAATACATTATAGAAACATGCATATTAAAAGCTATTGTTTGATCCATTCAACCAATCTATTTTCCTTCCCACTACGTGAGCACGCATTAATGTATTCTGCGTAGCTCGAGTGCATTTGCGGAAGCTATTGTTAATTCACAGAGGATGAAACAGCCGTTTCGCGATATGTCCAGGGTAGTATAGTGTTTGCCGCCAACATCGCTATCACAACAATGGCATACATATTGAATTTTTAACATGCCGAGTATACAGATATCACGTACGCGAGGTATCGCTTGCATTTAATATCGCTCCACGAAGTATTCAATCGTTCGATCTTCTTTCTACCGTGACGTGTCGATCGCAGCCGAAAAGAGAAGCACGTTCGCTATGCAACGCGAAGAGGCTCGATAGACTACAATCCGCAAACTCTCTCTCTCGACTGCAGTGAATTTTTCATTCGCTCTAAAAATATCGGATTATCGTATCCGGTGAAACGGAATTCGTTTATGGATATTTAGCTTCATTGCGTATTATGACAAACAATTTTTGTGCAAAATTTTTGTAGAATTGTTAATTTTTGTGCTTTTTATACGAATAAATTATAATTATATACATTTCCTTGAATAAAATCATCAACGATAAAGTATAAAAAAAAAAGAAACTCTTGCCATTATACTTATTTACTGCATACAGTACATTTTTACAAAAAAATTTTTCAATGTGTTTTACATATTACATGCAAACTTATTTGTTATACAACGATCATTATGTGGTTTATACGTGATTTATAAAAGATATAAAATATGCGCCAAGTATTGACGCTATGGTAATTAAAATTTAATGGTTTTAGTTAGAACAGCAAGTTTTTCTTTTTGTAACTCATTAACCGCTCAAGTTATTTCTTTGGGAAATTTATTACATCTAAAAGTTTGCTTGTTTTTAAATTCTAAATAAATACAAATTTATAAATTATTTCTTACAATATTTAGATCCCAATTAATCTGAAAATCACATGACCTGTTTTTGTTTATGCACTAAGCTTACATTATTAATATCGTATATTCCGCAAGCGATTACGTATATTTCAACCGTTAAATCAAGCAATTTCCGTATTTCACATTTTAACATATTAAAACCCGACCATATCACTTTTTTTTGTAGCTGGCTAAAAATTGACGTGAATATATTGAAAATTATACCGCGGCGTCGAACAATGGATTTTAACGCGCTATTCAAAATTTTATCAACAATGCTCTAATGCGACGAGAGACGACGGCGACGTGTCGGTCCGCGCAAATTGAAATGGGTATTTCACTTTGCGGAAAACCTGCAAAATAAATCACGTAGCCGAATTTTCCCGCAAAGTGGATATTTCTGATCGGAATTTATATCGGACTCCGAGGACGCTCCGTATTCCTTCTCGCGCGCATCTATCTGCGTAACGTACGCGTTCCGGTGAACATTTCCAGTATAAATGGATCGCGCCACACGACAAGCATTGCGATACACTTGCAGTCGTAAATTGAACCATAAGAGGATTCACACGTAGCCTTTAGCTACAGAAGATCGAAGCTATTTATACTACTATTTCCGATATATTTTCAGCAGATCACATTAACCTCCAGCATAGGTTCCTTTGATATTGCACAAGATATAATCTAATCCGATATATACAACTTATATAAAATCTTTTTGAAAAATGAGAATATAAGCAATAGTACTGCGATAAAGATAATGAAATTGAAGAAAAGTAAAAAGAAAACAGTTTAAAGAGATAAATAGTTTATGTAAATTATAATAATAATAATACAGTTTTTAAGAGGATTACATACTGCAAAAATGTTCATGAAAGCTTTATAACGGAGCTGCTTACGATCCTGTGAATTAGGTTCGATATCGCAGAAATTGTTCGTAGAAACAATGACGCTGGAGATAGAATGTCGACAGATGTGATGGTTCTAGATGATTCTATGTAACGGAAGAAATAATCCATGTTACGTACGAGAAGAAAATAAAAAATATGCGTATGCAGATGCGATACATTTATCCATAAAATGAATGAGGGAAGGGAAGCTACATATCCCGTAGTTATCTCGGAAAGAGTTACGTGTCTTTTACTATCGAAGTCGGCTGTGTCAGTGAAGAAACAGCCGTCTGTGTCGTATTATAAATCTCTTGCCGACGTGAGCATCATTTAAATTGTCGACCATACAGCGCAATGACCGCACCTCGAGATGCTGGTGTTGCATAGCGCATGCGCTATATAGCAGTTGTAGTTTCGCACGAGACGCGAGGAGGGAAAAAACTGGCGATTCGCTAGCCCGTTCATCGGCTCGACCCTTTTTTATCCCTTCTCAGTCATGGAAACGTGCACGGAATGATATAAGCGCGACGTTTATCTCATTTGTGTACCTGCTAGACGAGAAGCGCTTCACGCCGCGCTAAGCAACATAGTGTTTTATAAACGAGGTCCCCCCCTCTCCCGCACTTGCAATGCAGCTTTCCGCTTCCGTTTCCGCGGTCCGCAATGCGTTTTGTGATACGCTTTTCTGACTGACCGCGAAACAAATGTATCATATATAAATCTATATACATACATTGAATGAAATATAATCAATTTTTATGCGATAATTTTTTGGGTCTGTTGATTTTTCATTGAAATTCAGTTAAAAATTAAAAAATATATTTTACAGATATTTTTGTGAGATTTCAAATTGAACTGTGCATAGTGTGCAATTTCTTCATATTTTCACCATACGATGACAAATTTCATCTTAATTTTACAGTTAAGGCCTGCGGCACGATGCGTATTTTCCTGCAAGATTGCTTGCGTTTTGGTAAATTATTAAAAATTCTGCCCCATGTAGAAAATTGTTAGGGCTTAAAAAAAGATCTGATTAGTTTGCCCTAAAATTAATC